GTCTTTCCTGGCTCTTCTCCCACCTCCTGCCCCATTGCCCTGAGGAGCAGCACTGGAGGAAGTTCTCCCCCCCCAAAAGTGCCCACAAGACCTGACGTTATTTCCAAGCCAAAGAGTGGAAGGAAGGAAGGAAAATGGTTAGTGAAGAGCCCAATCGCAACAGGAACTTGTTTAATTTGAGCGTATTGCTGATGTCTGGCGTCTCCCCAGTACCTACACCAGCCAGGACGGCTCACGGCACAACGGTTAACCACGCAGCTTGGGGCAGGAAAAAGAAACCTCAGAAAAGCTCAACCTTTTACTGAAGAAAACAACCTTCCTGACACACAGATATCAGAACTAGTTATTATCCTGGGACCCAAAATGCTCCAAAGGATCTGGTTTCTTTCAAAGCTTGCTGAAACAACCAGAATTCATTGTGCAAATAACATGCAATTACCCAGCCAAGTCAAATCTCAAGGCATTTTATAATAATTAATGTCAAAGTACATAAGTAATTACAACCTACTAAGTGGCAAAACAATTTTGAAAAAATGAAAATGAGGATTTCTCCTCCTTTCCACGGCCCCATTGCTTGTTCCTATGGCAATACCGCAGACAGCCCTGGCAACATTGATGACCACGGCTAGAAACCCAACTACAGGATCAGACCAAGGTCAAAATCATCTACAGTTTGTTAAAAGTTTGCTCAACTGTGGCTCATTTTCCTTGTTTTCACCTTCAAGGCTCTTTGCGTTACCATGCCATCACCCCAGCTCTGCTTTTCCGTTTCCTTCCTTGCCCAGCAGAGCCCTCTCTCTTCTTCTCTGAGGGCCAAAGGTCTCCTTAAGGTCAGAGATATTGAGGTTATTTGTAATGGGGTAGAGCAGGAGCGATAGTTTAGCTCGTTCCACCCTTACTCATTGCTCACACGTTCATGAAGGTGTCACGATGTGTTCATGAAGGTGTCACGACGTGTTCATGAAGGTGTCACAACATGCTGGTGCTCTAGGCTACCACGGGCATTGGGTTCTTCTCTCCCTTCCCCTTGTCCCAGTCAAGGAAGATGCAAAATAGCATGGGAGTCTCATAGAGGTACACATCTGAGGTTACAACGCCTTCTGGAAAATCCTTGGCGAGACCTTTGCTTCGGGTCCAAATAAAGCATTTTGTCTATGCTCTTGGCCTCAAAATGTCTTTCAACGTGTTTGTCAAAGTCTGAATTTCCTGTGGAGCCCAACACTTTTCATTGTGACCATAAGGACGGTTCTTTTGGGATGCTCTTGAGCTGCTTGGAGAAACGAGTAAACCGGACACTTCCTTACCACCGAATACCTTCTTGGTGTTTCCTGCAGCGGTGCTCTTAGAGAGCAAAGCTTTATCAGCTTTATCAGTCAGCATCAGCATAATGGTCTCTGCATTAAAAGGCTATTAAATTAACGCTTTACCATATGGGTATGTTTTATCTTATAGATTTAGCTGTAAAACCTGGAGACCTACATAACCACCATTACATAAAAGATTTCAGGTTATCCTCCAGCTATTACCGAGGGTCTGAGGGAATAAAAAATCCATGCAGATTGAAAACAAAAGGTAATAAGGATTCAAAGTCTGTGATGGTAGATGGAGACTAAAATGAACTTTATTCCGTATCTCCTAATGCCGTTCTGTGTATTTTTGAACTTACACAGGTTATATTATGTGACCAAGATAGATCGATGGGGAATGCCTTCAAACTGGTAACTACAACTTCCATGCGGAACATGTCCCAGATTTTCACCACCCTCATTGTAAAAAATTTCTTCCTTCTATCTAGTCTAAATCTGCCCTCTTTTGGTTTAAAACCATTACCTCTTATCCTATCAGGGAATACGCTAATAAATTTGCTATTTTTCTACACAATTTTCAATCTTTCTTTTTAAGATTAGAAAATAGTATCTCTTTATTTTCAAAAAAACACCCGTATTTTCTGAACGTCTCCAAGTTTTCATCATGGGGATTATTAGGGCAATACACCGCTGAAAGGCTCCACTAAAACCAGTGCTGTTAGACCAGTTGTAGTCTTTAGGGGCAGCCTGAAGAAAAGTACTCTGCCTCCTGTAAAAGCATGATCAGGATGGGACCAGAACACAACCTGTTTCTGCTGACCAGTGTGGGGATGGGGCAGGATGGGTATGGGGCCACCCCAGTACCTTCCAAACGGGAGATGGTTTCCTCCAGCTGCTTTTCTTTCCTTACTGGAGACAGTGATGGCTCAGCATCTCCAATAGTTGTGGCAGAGGAGAAAAAAGACCATCTTCTTCTTCTTGAAGAAGGCAAACTAGGCATGTCACCATCTTCCCAAACCTCTCTTGGGACCATTGTAAGCAGAGAGTGTGACAGAGCTCTGGAGGAGCCTGGAGGAGAAGGCAAAGCATGGGAAGGATTGCCGACCAGACAACAGTCGCTTTATCATGGCTCGGAGATGTTTTCCGCCTGGAAAAACTGATATTTAGCAATTGTATTTTATGGCTGGTACTGTCATCAGCAGCGATTGAACAGGCAAGACAGCTTATTATTCAAGCTCTTTTTTTTTCCATTTCCTTTTGTTCCCTCTTCAGTAGAACATTTGTCCTCAAGATAAGTTGCTGCACTCAAATCTTCGGGTCAATGAAAAAGGTCTTCAAGAAAGAGAAGAAGGTGTTCGAGCATTGTGCGCGCGGCAGGAGGCCAAGCAACGCCCTCGCTAATGGCACGGCATATTATTTATTCAGGGGTTGCTACATCTTGATCCATAGGGTGCTCGGTCCGGCAGTACTGCAGGTAGGCTCTGTCTCAGAGGAATTATT